ATGAATTGAGCTCAGGGAACACACATTCAAATCTGGCTTCTGGGATTTATTTAAAAAAAATACTATTTGGTCTCTATTTTACCCCATAATTGGCTGTTTCTTTTCCATTTTTCATATCAGTTTAATGGCAAAATATCTAAATGAAACGTATTCCAATGTGAACAATATCTGTATCATCATTACACTGTAATGTTTCTCAGTCTTTTAATGAAAAGCTCTATATTTATATTCCCCTTACCCACTTCAGAATACTGATGCCATATCATGAGCACTGACGTTCAGATCTACTGGGAAACATCTAGACTGCAGGAGATTTGATGCACTGCTAAGCATTCAACTCTGAAGGCTGTAATCATGTGACCTGCACTTTCTTTCAACTTTTCAACTGTTTGACTTGCACATACATATTTGGGCATGTAGCCTACTATTGGCCAACCACCACTTCTGTGACTTCCAGGTTATCTGGAGATGCTATTGTGCTGTGAGTACCATTCTGGTATTCATGCAGTATCATGACATGTTACAATAGGGCTGACATAGGGGCATCCAGCGATCATGTGTCCTTTTGTTCCAATGGTATTCTCACTGTGTGATGTCACCATGAGTCCATAAGACATCCACTATCTCTTTTGACAACCTAGTGATAAAAAGATCAACATGTGGTGAATCAGCTTTGAGATGTCCGGTTTGGTGATGCATATGACCAGCTATACTCTCTCCTTGTCTTCCATCACTCCTTAAAGCATCTGAGACTATTAAATAAGCTCAGTGCTGCAGAAGATCTAGCCCACATAAAATATTGAGAGTATGCCTGAATTATTTGATAGTTCTGGTGGTGAAAGCTGGAATATTGCTGCATCCCTCCAGAGAGGAAGCAGTTCTTTGCTGAGGAACCTTGGTCCTGTTTATATGCACCGTTTTGTGGTACTGCAAGATTTCTGACTTGAAATGTTATTATTACTAATTAACTTATTATATAGTTAGCATGATGTTTGCATCACATCTTATGTGGAACTGAATCATTGATTATCAAGATTGGGAAAGTTCATTGCACACTGAGATTAACTTCAATTTGAGCTGCCTGGAATTATGCCTCTATATCTCTGTGATTTAACTGTTTAATCAGTTTATATAGAGATGAATAAAGTGTTGAATATATTCTAGGTATAAAGCTGCCAAAAGGAATGATTACCTCATAAAACACTGTGATAGCCATTGGTAATTTTGAGATATGTGTATATTCTTTCCTGATTTTGGATGAAAAAATTGATTCAAGTTTACTTTAGGTAAACTTCAAGTTAACTTCTAATTTAGGATTGGAAACTGGGCCTATGTTTGAAAAAGAATATTAGCATAATATTTACAATTGCCATAGTATAACATGCACACACCAGTTGGCCGTATGCTAGAATTCCAGTTGGAGCACAGCTTTTGTCTCCCTCTACTGGTCAATCTCTGCCATTACTTCAATCTCTAGAACACACTGTACCCTCTGGCATAAAAAATCACAACTATTTATTTATTTATTTATTTTTTTTACCAAGAGGCTTTTTTCTTAAGCCCATTTCAAGTTCAGTTATGCTTACAATTAGAATTTTAGAAGATGCACATAATATGATCTGCTGGAGTATTGTGTTCGTGATATGTTAACACCATTATTAGCAGATGTGATTATAGATCTGTTTCTTAATCACTCTCCTCTCTGACAGACTATTAGCTGTCCTTTCGGTTCAGGTTATCTTTGTTTGAACAGCATTGTGGGTTGTCACGCTCACAGCAGTGTCTGTGGCTGGAACCCAGCAGTGCTGTTCTGTGCCAGACAAGCCTGGCTGTCTCCATGCAGACAAATTCACCTAAAAAATCCCTCATGTCTTCTGTCTCCTTTAGCTTTTCACATTATGTTACAACTCATTTATTGCAGATGTTTACTTGTTTACTAGATATTTTGCATCTGCAGATTCTTATACTGATTATTTCATTTACTGTATTTTAAAATTACAGCTGGAATTTGCAATTACCCCTGTCTCAGTAGCATTAATAAAAAACGTTCAATAAGATAAAATTAACAGAGATGCATTATATATATTTTTTCCACTATCTAGAGGAGAGTTTCAAATATAAAAGACTAGGATGTGGAAAACCCATTCTTAGTTTTTTAAAACCCCCGAGAGAAACATCAGCGTTCCACCTAATTTCCTCTGCAGACTTTTCAGAAATAAATCAGCATTTTATTTTCCCATACCACAAAATAAATGGGTTTTTATATGTGATAATAGACTTCCTGTGCATATGTGGATCTATGTGAAAGAGAAGGAAATATGAGGCTTCGGTCAGGACTTTGTGCATGTTGCCAGTGTGTGCGTTGTCTAGCACATGGGAACATATGTCTAGAGAGCACTGTCACCATGGCAACAGTGTACTTGCCAGATATGTGAAAACATCATTGTATGGGCTGAAACGCTCGTCAACTGATAATTATCTCACCCAATGCCATTAACACACTGAAAGCTGTAAAATTAGACTGGAAGTCTTTTGAAATTCACTCCTTGCCATCTGTATATATCGCAGCACTTGTAAGAAGCATACTGTTTGTATTGCTCTAATTCTCTACCTGCATCAAATTAGATCATTGTATCCCAATGATTTTGGGTTTTACCTTTACTTATTGATTATTGTAACCTCTCATTCATTCATTCCCAGTATATCCACTTACACCTTTAATGAAAAGCCATTGTTACTAATTTCTCATAGAGTAGTTGATGCAGTGCAGAGGGGCTTTTGCCACTTAGCGTGCATTTAAGTATTTTAAATAAAATTATACAATCAGCAAGCATGTATGAGCTTTGTATGTGTTTGTCAGGAAACATATTGAGTACTTCCTTCCATTCATTCTGCTGAGGTTAGCAGTGCAATGAAGAGAAAATCTCTTATTTTGCTAATAAACTGCTGGGTATTTCATGTCAGTTGTCACATTAGCAGGCATATGTCATTTTTGGCATCGGTTTATATTTCATACACTGTAGGTACAGTATTTCAATTAATTAACTGTTGATTGACTGTAAACATTTGACTTAGCACCATTGGAAGACCACTACCATTTTGACATGCTGACAAATGTGACTCATGTTTGAAAGTGTACACTATTCAGATACAGAATCATACGATACAATACGATACAAATTTATTGTCAGACAAAGTCTGAAATTTGTCTTGTGTTACAGCAGGTTCACTCACATTTACTTTTATCATGTAGACAAAAGACAGACAGGACCCTTAGAAAAACATTTTCAAAGCTACGGTAAAAAATAAATTTTTGTGTAAACTTTAAACTTTATTAGAATAAAGTAAGAGTACTTTAATCAAATTTGATTCATTCATTTCTATGGAAGACACCAGCAGGCTGGTTTATGCTGATTTGCTCCTGGCCTAGATTGTGTTGCTGGTTAAGATGCCTGGTTAGCATCCCATGCTGAGGACTAGCATCCAAAACACATGCAGGTTTTTTTAGCAGGGAATGGGTGTGTTCACTGCACTGAAAGCATCAGTACATTCATCAGAGTTTGATGCAGCAAAACTGAGCATATGACTCCAGCCAAGTCCTTGCTGTAGATACTAATAGTGAAAACATGAGTTCAAACGAAGAAAGCCAAGATGGAATTACCATAAAAATCCTGTTTTGTTCTATACTAGCAATACGGCTGGGTAGTTCAGCTCAGATGGAGAGAAATAAATAAATAAGATAGAGGAATAATGGAAAAAAAACATTGATTATATATATAAAAACAGATTTTCTTTACATTACAGCAGCCCGAGTGGGAAGTCTACTTCTGTCCTCACTGTGGGGGAGGGAAATGTGCCTGAGGATATGTTAAAGGGAGAGAGAGAGAGAGCCAAGCAGTGAGTCTGCAAGTGGCGAGTATCTGCAATGGGTTTCATTTGGATAAAGCCCACCTTCAGCGATAGATCGAAGAGAGAGAGAGCGTACAATATTGAAAAAGAGGGAGGGATGGAGAGAAGGGGACGTAGCATACAAAGGGACAGAATCAAAGCTTCAGATTTCAGGAATTGCCATTGGGAATAGGGAAAAGGTGTATGAGTGACCGTGAGGCTGTGATCAGTGGCAGAAATGGCAGTGAGCGCGTGGCAGGCTCTGTCTCCGCTGCAGTGGGCTCGCTGGGGCTGGGACACACTGCTGGGAGGGACATCTGGAGAGGATGGGGCAGACCCAGCCCTAGGGCTCCTCCGGCGCCTCAGCTGGACCTCCAGGCATGATTACATGATCCAAGGCAGGCAGAGGTGAGCGTGGGATAACAGCAGAGAAAGGACAGGGACTAATGCAGTGAGACTGGGTGGGGGTCTGCACATCTGTCTGAGGCTGCGCCTTTGTTGCTGTATTTGAACTGGTGCTGTATGTTCGCCTGCGCTATCACATATTGTGTCAGATTTGTGTATGACAGTATATGCTGATGCCAAGACTGAAAAACGTTCACAAACCTTGTATGTTTTGTTGTATTGACTTAAAAAGCAAAATGGGCATCATCAGTCTTGACTGAAATGACAAATGTGTTAATGTGTGAAAATAGCACGGCCACTGTGATACTCAGTAGTTAAAAAAATAGACTCCATGGCTGAGCATAATATGTGTTTGAGCTAGCTGCAGGTTCAGCGCTTTAATTTCCATCTGTAACAATCCTCCAGGGCCTACTAGGCTGATGCAGGCATTTGTTTATAAGGTCTGGCACACGATGAATGATTGTTTAATATACTTAAGGTGTATCTGAATTTATTTGATCCTGTAGTGTAAATATGAGCTGTGATGTGTTGCCTCATAAATGGATGTGTTGCCTCATAAATGGATGTTGTATCAGCGCTGGATTTGATATGCAGCTTGGTTGTATGGAAACAAAACAGACTTGATGTTTATACTTCAATGAGATTATTAAATCAACTCTTAATTCAATATATTCAGACCTTCTTCTGTCTCACTGTTTCTTCTGCAGGAGTTCAGACTCAGATGGAGCGTTCGAAACCCCTGAGTCCACCACCCCTGTGAAGTCTGCTTCCCCACCAGTGCCCCCAACAGAGCCCCCCTGCACCAACTCAGAGGCATTGTCCCAAGAACACACAGGTACGTTTAGATCTCCATTCCATCGCAATTCACACACAGATGGCCTTATGTGGAGTCAAATTGTTTTATTTATCATTTGAATAGCTTCAGGAGGGTTTACTGGACTTTGAAATGCTTAAGAATACAGGACATTGACAAATAGTGACACTGTGTCTTGTTTTGAGCAAATTTTGTAATATTTAATATAAAGTAAAAAATGGACCGTATATTAAATGACAATAAATAGTAAGTGCATGCTATAGCAGATAGCATAGAGCAACAGTAAACACTAAACCTGAAAACAGAATTTACTATTAACTATTTTTAACTCTGAAACCCAATAAATGTTATGGAAAACTAAATAGCTATATCTAGTTATTTAGTATCAAAGTATCTATGTTATATGCCTATGGTATATGCAAAGGTTAAATGTCAGTTTGTGCTTCTAGGTCTAGGTTGAGGTCTTATTAAAATCTTTATTCAATAGTTTTGTTTCTCCTCATGTATTTTTTTAACCAGTATTCTTGTTAGAAAAAAAACAAACAAGAAAGGGCTGCCTTTTCACTTCCATTATTCTCAGACAGGAGTACTGTGGTCTTTGTTATCAAACACTGCACTTGTACTCCCTCTAGTGGATATACATATTGCTACTGATTTTTTTTCAAGAAAGATCTAGAAATAAATCAAAACTAACACAGGATACTAGTACTTTTTGCACTCTTTCCTTCTTCAGTTCTTCAGTTGTTATTTATATAAAATAATATCAATGCATCTGTGAGTACTATCCTGTGATCTGCTTGAAAGCATGATTTGTTTTCAAATGCATAGTAACATGCTATTCTCTATCTTCACAGCTTCCACTGCTGACATCTCTGCCAGCGAAGCTCAAGACCCAAATCAGCTTCAGTCTCCCAGTCGCTCTCAATCTACAGTCTTTGATGAGGACAAACCAATAGCTGCTAGTGGCACCTACAACCTAGAATACGTAATTGCTGATGCCCCCGGACCATCAAGTCGAGCGCCTCTCACCCGCTCTCTAAGCCTACAGTCTGGTGAGTTAGAGAGCCCAGGAGACAAATCCTCGGGAGGAACCTCTGACAAACCCATTCACCCACGAGCAGAGTCTTTCAGCATAGGAACAGAAAGTGCTCCGGAAACTCTTCGTAAAGTGAAGAAGCCACGTCCAGGTTCCCTAAAGAAGAAACCTCTTTCCCGGCAGAACTCAAACCCAGACCATACCTCTCCCAAAACAGTCTCCTCTAATAGCACACCAGAGGAGAAAAAGAGAGGTAAACCACAGCCTGAAAGCCCCTTGCAAAATCAAGAGAGGCCTAGCTCCTCTCCAAGCCCTAGTCCTGCTGGTACCCTACGGAGGAATAGGATAAAGTCTCAAGTTGAAAGTCCTCCACCTTTGGTTGAGGAGGTCACTGCCAGCTCAATATCAACTCAACTCCAAGTGGTTCTTCCTGATACAGTACCCGAGGCTCCAACTGTCCCCGACGAGGAGTCTCCTTTCCCTCCCAGTGCCTCCTACAAATGGGATCCGGACAACTTTGAGAATATTGACCCATTCCGTACAGGAGGGAGTAAAGTTGCCAACTCGCCGGTCTTGGGCAGGAAAGCCGACTTTACATCGGTTTCAGACACTCCTGTTGCTGTAGAGGAGCCTCGTGCCTCTTCTCCTGCTAAAGAGCAACCCATCAACATTGAGGAACAGCCAATCACCAAGCGCCAACCAGTCAGACTGGAGTTTGACTATTCAGAGGACAGTGGAGAGGCGCCACGCAATACTCCTCCTCCTAAAAACCTAGGCAAGAAACCAGGGGCCAAGATGCCTATCCGAAAGCCCAAACTGGGGATTAAGAAGGCCCCTCCACCACAGACAGAGCAGCTAGATAATGCACCTGTCCCTGCACTTTCAAATGACATTGATGATATCCCGATCCCCAAGGGGTTATATAACTTTGATCCCAACAAGTGGGATGACCCTAACTTTAATCCATTTTCTTCAAAGACTGGTGTCCCCAACTCTCCTCGCCTGTCTAGAGGATCTTACAACTTTGATCATGGCTCTTTTGATGGCTCAATCGATCCCTTCAACTCATCCAATAAGATGGGAAACTCGCCTCCGAAAGCTGCAACTTTTGACAGATCCAACGACACCGAGAATGACAATGATGACATTGTTGAGTTGGAGGATCACAACCAGAACAAACCTGCCAAAAACAAGAAGAAGCCTCTCAAAACGTAAGTCTGATTTCATTTAATTTTAAAGTACGGTCATCCATTGTAGTGCATGGTTTCTAATTGTTGTACATTATCTTGTGTATATTTCTAAATGGTCAGATGCATGTGTGTATGTAAGTGGGTGTTAGTTCTTGTTTGTCAGCCTCTGTCACATGTCTGTTGATCTCATGTATCACAGGAAGTCCAGCAATGTCTCTTCTCTGTGTTGTTTCTTGTAAGTAGAGAGATGGTGGAAAAATCAGCATCAGTAATAATATAGCTTAACATAAAATGTCACTTTAACATGTTTTAACTCATGAGCTCATTGTCAGTTGTTTTATCATTCTATTTAATACATATGACTGATTTCTCATCACATCATTCCACGTCACCTCCATCTTCCTCGGCTTCACATTTGATATTCTCCAATGAGAATGTGTTGCCATCTAGTGGACCCTCAAACAAGTGCAGTCGATTCAATCATGCAAATGCACACAGGGGTACAAACTTTAGGCAAGAAAACATTGTATGATTTCATTACTATGTGCATGTGATCCAAGTTGAGCTTTGTTGACTATGCTTTTTTCAATGAATCAGACGTGAAGATCGATAGTTTATCTCTAAAATCTCTGAATGAATTCCTAATCCAGACATTTTTATGAGACTCATTTCAGAAATATTACCTCCTTGGGGTGGCCTAGTGGATAATAAACATTGCAGGTTTTATTGCTAGAAAGCAGAAACTGTGACCTGGAATGTTGACAAGGGAATTTTTATTGTGCCTATGAGCAAGACATTATTTTCCCTCTCTAAGACCCTCCTGCACACCCTGATTCATTAATACAGCTATTAAGCAGCAGTTTTAAGTAATATTACTTTCAAACTGGGATTACTTTGTACTGGATCATTTGCTTCCGTGTCAGATTAATCCATTTAGTATATTTTGCTCAGCTGCAAACTTTCCTCTATAGTTCTCACACAATTCAAGGTTTTCAATGTTATTTTTTTCAACACAAATGTCTGTTCAGATTTGACATGAGGAGTAAAGCAGTACTCCTGAAATATTTACATCACACTTAAACTATGAAATGTGCCTACAACAGCAACAGAATAGGATTTGAAATGCTTCTGTTATGTGAGGCATCTGTCACTGAGCAATTTAACAGGGGCTACAGGGATTAAAACAAACTGGGTCAGGGCAGAGACTGTGGAGTATTAAGGATATTTTTGTTTTTATTTTCTAAAGCACAAATCTTTACTGCATAATCACCATAGTTTTGCGAAACATATTTCCAAATAATCTCTAGTATCTGTTGGTCTTAATTTCTTGCCATGGTTCCATTCGTAAAGACTGCATTAGCAAAAAAGTATGTTTACAATAAAAAAAACACATTTGCGCAAGAAAACTACAAACTGAAAAACATACTGTATATTTGATATATCCCACTAATAGAAGCATCAATCATGATGTAAACCCTGAATAATCCATTATATTGCACACTAGTAAGATCTTAACTCATGAGATTTAATCCTTAATAATACGATCCATCATTTACTGTAAGAATTACAATATATTTGCATTGTCAAAAGGTTCTTTAATACCTTTATCAGAACAACAAAACAGGTATGTATTATTTAACTAAAACTTTTATTTATTCAGTAGAACATTATCTGTACAGAATCTGTCAAGAAACTGCTGTGTATTGTAAATATGGTTGGACAAAAAGCATGGTTGGATGTTGTCTTTTGTTCTACATTGATACTTTAAGAAGTAACCACAAATCTCTGTCATGTTTTCTTAAACAGTAACACTTTTAGAGTGAAGAAATCACCAAAGAGGACTCAGATTACTGAGCCATCTGCTCAAGTAAGTTAAGATGTGAGCGTACATTCACCTACACTCACACAGTCACTGCAGATGTTCATTGTGAAGATGATCTGTTTTTCTCCTTCGCTGTCACCTCATATCATAACAGTGTTGTCCTGTGTGCTCTCCACTCTCGCCCTCCACTTCACACACACATAATCACCTGCAGGAGCACTCGCCTGATGCCAATCCCGAGCCTTCACAAGATCACGCCACAGATGAGGAGAAACTGGCTTCCTCCACCAATCAGATATGGACTAGATATGACGTAGAGGTGGAGCTGACCTCTGACCCCCAAGATCTCCCACAGCCGACTGACTTTACAGCTTTTGTCAATGAGAACAGTTTACCAGCACAGAGTGATGGTGAGAGAGTGGGGGAGTCTCTTATTATGTTACTACATTATCTCTAATCACGAGCCTTGATTTTTCTGTCCAAAATAAGAGTAATGGTCCTAAAAATAAAAACGTTTTTTTCCCTGTTGATTTTGGGGTAAAATGGTTTTGTGAGATTCACCCATCAGATAATTTCCCACATTATACAAGTTTGCCTACAACCCCAAATGACCCAAAGCTGACCCGTTTTATTAGCCTTTGACCTTCAGGGAACCATTCGCACCCTAGGGCAGTTTCTGCCTGAAACTAACTGGGTCAGTAGTACAGAGGCAGATGAATTATAGTGCCACTCTCATATTGGTTCTGTCAGTCTGAACCGATGATCAGCATAGAAACAATATTCTTTGAAAGCCTTATATTATTTTGAATTCCTATATAACCTTTATAAAACATTTAACCTGTTATATCTTCTCTCATTTTCTCTATTGTCTTTTCTGCAGTTACAGACTATGAGATTGAATACATGGAAAAGATTGGCTCCTCCGCACCTGTGAGTATCTAAACTTAGGGAAATTTTCTAAAAAAAAAAAACCCTAATTTTAAATTACAGTGCTTTGTTTTTTCTGAATACATGTATGTTTTTTACAGCCTCTCTCGGTGAAGAAACCATCACTTTATCTAAAGCTGGACTCTGTGACAGACAGTCCAACAAAGACTTCCAACATGCAAGATTCAGAGCCCAACTCTCCCTGCACTGGGTAAACGCACACACACACACACATATACATACACATACTGTATAATCATATAATATTATATGTGACATATATCATATATTGCTTAAAAATGCAATGAAATTACTTAATAAGAGTAGTAGTCTGTGTGGAAATATTTTGTGTTTAAACAGGAAGTCTGTCTGTCAGTTAGTACCTGGTGGTAGACAACATAACTGCTCCGTTATGTTGACAAAAAGTCATTTCCGTTTAGTCTGCTATTGAGCAACTGTAAAACCATGAAGATTATATTAAAGGAATATATTTGCTAAAGGTGGATTTTGTACACCAAACTCTCAGAAAAAAAGGTACAAAACTGTCACTGGGGTGGTACCCTTTCAAAAGCTATGATAATGTTATTTTATTTAAAGTATCAATATGTGCCTTTAATGTATTAATATGAATCATTTAGAGGTGAATAAGTAACAAAAATGTGCCTTTTAGCTTCTCTGCGTTAGGGTACCATCCCAGTGACAGCATTGTACCTTTTTTCTGAGAAGGTATCATATAGATTGACTCACTTAGACTGAAAGCCATAAAATTCGATTCTCATTCAATTCAATTCATTTCAAGTTTATTTGTATAATTTAGACGCGTCTTTAATCTAGATTTAAACAGAGAGAGTGTGTCTGAACCCCGAACGTTATCAGGAAGGCTATTCCAGAGTTTGGGAGCCAAATGCGAAAAAGCTCTACCTCCTTTAGTGGACTTTGCTATCCTAGGTAGTGTACTACCAAAAGTCCAGAGTTTTGCGACCTTAAGGAGCATGATGGATTGTAGCGTGGTAGAAGACTAGTTAGGTACACAGGAGCTAACCCATTAAGGGCCTTATAGGTAAGTAATAATATTTTGTAACTGATACGGAACTTAATAGGTAGCCAGTGCAGAGACTAAAATTGGGGTAATATGATCATATTTTCTTGACCTGGTAAGGACTCTAGCCGCTGCATTTTGGGCTACCTGTAGCTTGTTTATTGGAGATGCAGGACAACCAGCTAGCAGTGCATTACAATAGTCCAGTCTAGAGGTCTTGAATGCATGAACTAGCTTTTCTGCATCAGAAACAGGTAACATGTTTCGTAGCTTGGCAATGTTTCTAAGATGGAAGAATGCTGTTTTTGTAACATGGGAAATATGATTTTCAAAAGACAAGTTACTATCTAATATAACACCCAGATTTTTGATTGTAGAGGAAGTAACAGTACATCCGTCTAGTTGCAAATTGTAATCCAAGAGATTCTGTGTACTGTCTTTTGGTCCAATAAGTAATATCTCTGTCTTATCCGAATTTAATAGGATAAAATTATTGGTCATCCAATCTTTTACTTCTTAAACACACTCTATTAGCTTAGATAATTTAGAAGTTTCATCTGGTCTTGTTGAGATATATACTGTAGTTGAGTATCATCAGCATAACAGTGGAAACTAATCCCGTATTTTCTAATAATATTACCATGGGGCATCATGTATATTGAAAATAGCAGAGGACCTAGGACAGTGATTCTCATGGGCTCTTTAAAAATTATTTACTGTACTTTGGTGATGTATTCCAATTGTGTTGATCTGATTCTTCACAGGAGCTTTGAGGAGATGGAGGCTCAGATCTCGCAGGGGAAATCACCTGTGCTGCCACCACGAGGTGCTCGTGACTCCTTGGCCTCAGAAAAAAGCAGAAAGAGAGACAGCCAGTCTCAGAGTCGAACGCAGAGCAATGAGAGAGATGGAGCGGTAAGTGCAAACCAGTCAAACCCCAAAAGTATCAGCACCTTTAAGGGTGTATTTATTTCATTATCTCAGATAATGTGGAGCTCGTACAGTCAAAATACAAGAAAACACCACAAATGTGTGAAGATGGGGTTATTTTTATTTTGTTACTACTAGCACAGCTTATCTGATGCATTTACAATGCTACACATTTTTGTTTCAGTCTTAAAGCGACAGTGCATCCTAAATAAATAAATAAATTCTGTCATTATTTACTCACCCCCATGTTATTTCAAAAACATATGCTGCATATTATTTCAGTTTAACATGAAAGGAGTAATTTTGACCAATGTACTGTACACTCCTCTTTTCTATATAACTGTCTGTTTCCAAATTATAATCATAGTAAATAATGACAGATTTTTTTTTTTTGAGTGAATTCTCCCTTTAAGACAATTATTTTGCTAGGCATGCAGCTTACTCAGGGTCTCCCCATCAGAATCAGTACCGCAGAATGTTTATTCATAAGCTTCATAAATCTATCATAGAAGTGTTATGATGCACTATAGGCTAAATACAAGCTTGCCCTACCTCACTGACACCCAGACACCTCCTACTCCTCTTGTCCCTCTTCTGCTCTCGGTCCCATCGCAGTCCCCCATCCAGGGCCCCATGGATCCCTCAGATCTACCCCTCTTAGACAGACTGTCTGATTCACCTGCACCTCTCAGCTACCTGGAGCCTGATCTGGCAGAGACCAACCCCACTGCCTTCGCTCAAAAACTGCAGGTGTGTAGAGAGAATCCTACCAGCCATCTATCTCTTCTTCCCTGGACCTTTGCAGCTGTGTGTGTGTGTGTGTGTGTGTGTGAGAGAGAGTGTGCGTGTCTTCACAGCTGTGTTTCACTGTGTATTTGTTTGTCCCTCCAGTCTTTCATGTACCTTGTCTGCTTTGTTTTGTCTCTCATTTTCTGTTTGCCCCCTAGAACTGGGGGTCAGGAGATGTTAAAGGAATAATTCAACCAAAAAGGAAAATTCTGTCATATTTATGCATCCTCAAGTTCCTAGAAGCCCTAATTCCTAGAAGTAAAAAGAAACTGGGGCTGGCAAGCTCCGAAATTAGTAAAAAACACTGTAATACTACACTACCATTCAAAAGTTTGGGGTCAGTATAATTAAAAAAAAAGAAATTAATACAATTATTCAGCAATGATGCATTAAATTGATCAAAAGTGATTGACTTTTACATTGTTACAAATGTAGTTTTTAATAAATGCTGTTCTTTTGAACTTTCTATTCATCAAAGAATCCTAAAAGATCATGGTTTCCACAAAAGTATTATGCAGCACAACTGTTTTTAATATTGGTAATAATAAAAATATTTCTCGAAGGATTATGTGACATCCTTCAAGCCATAATAGGAATAAATTAAGTTATATATAATATATATAATAATATTTCTTTTTTTGGTGCTTTTTTTTTAACACAATAAAACAATCCGAACTTGCTTTAAACGATTGACAGTAACAAATCTGACCTAATATAACACTTAACAATGACAGTCAGAGATATGATATAAGTTAATAATATTTCACACAATATACAGTAAGTGTTTTTTACTGAATTTGCGATCAAATAAATGCAGCCTTGGGGAGCACAAGAGACTTCTTTCAAAATTTAAAAAAAAAATCTTAATGACTACAGATTTTTTAACTGTATAGTTTCAAGTCTTCTGAAGTCTTCTGAAATTTGATAAGTCACATGGACTACTTTTATGTTGCTATTATGGTGCTTTTTTTTCTTCTTTAGACATTCTGATATCTCCATTTGTGTTCCACTGAAAGACAGAATTTAAATTTTCGCTTGTTTATCCGTTTAAAAGTAAAAGTAATAAAAATCCTAGGAATGGGTTGATGGATCTCTCCACATACACAACGTTCACAGTAACATGTGTATGAGTGTCTTTACAATAGTCCAGTCTAGAGGTCATGAATGCATGAACTAGCTTTTCTGCATCAGAAACAGGTAACATGTTTCGTAGCTTGGCAATGTTTCTAAGATGGAAGAATGCTGTTTTTGTAACATGGGAAATATGATTTTCAAAAGACAAGTTACTATCTAATATAACACCCAGATTTTTGATTGTAGAGGAAGTAACAGTACATCCGTCTAGTTGCAAATTGTAATCCAAGAGATTCTGTGTACTGTCTTTTGGTCCAATAAGTAATATCTCTGTCTTATCCGAATTTAATAGGATAAAATTATTGGTCATCCAATCTTTTACTTCTTAAACACACTCTATTAGCTTAGATAATTTAGAAGTTTCATCTGGTCTTGTTGAGATATATACTGTAGTTGAGTATCATCAGCATAACAGTGGAAACTAATCCCGTATTTTCTAATAATATTACCATGGGGCATCATGTATATTGAAAATAGCAGAGGACCTAGGACAGTGATTCTCATGGGCTCTTTAAAAATTATTTACTGTACTTTGGTGATGTATTCCAATTGTGTTGATCTGATTCTTCACAGGAGCTTTGAGGAGATGGAGGCTCAGATCTCGCAGGGGAAATCACTTGTGCTGCCACCACATGGTGCTCGTGACTCCATGGCCTCAGAGAAAAGCAGAAAGAGGGACCGTCAATCTCAGAATCGAACGCAGAGCAACGAGAGAGATGGAGCGGTAAGTGTAAACCAGTTAAACACTGAAAGATAGAATCAGCACCTTTAAGAGTGTGTTTATTTCATTAGCTCAGATAACGTAGAGCTCATAGTCAAAATGCAAGAAAACCACCACAAATGTGTGAAGATAGGGTTATTTTTATTTTGTTAATACTAATGATTGCACAGCTTATCTGATGCATTTACAATGCTACACATTTTTGTTTCAGTCTTAAAGCGACAGTGCATCCTAAATAAATAAATAAATTCTGTCATTATTTACTCACCCCCATGTTATTTCAAAAACATATGCTGCATATTATTTCAGTTTAACATGAAAGGAGTAATTTTGACCAATGTACTGTACACTCCTCTTTTCTATATAACTGTCTGTTTCCAAATTATAATCATAGTAAATAATGACAGATTTTTTTTTTTTGAGTGAATTCTCCCTTTAAGACAATTATTTTGCTAGGCATGCAGCTTACTCAGGGTCTCCCCATCAGAATCAGTACCGCAGAATGTTTATTCATAAGCTTCATAAATCTATCATAGAAGTGTTATGATGCACTATAGGCTAAATACAAGCTTGCCCTACCTCACTGACACCCAGACACCTCCTACTCCTCTTGTCCCTCTTCTGCTCTCGGTCCCATCGCAGTCCCCCATCCAGGGCCCCATGGATCCCTCAGATCTACCCCTCTTAGACAGACTGTCTGATTCACCTGCACCTCTCAGCTACCTGGAGCCTGATCTGGCAGAGACCAACCCCACTGCCTTCGCTCAAAAACTGCAGGTGTGTAGAGAGAATCCTACCAGCCATCTATCTCTTCTTCCCTGGACCTTTGCAGCTGTGTGTGTGTGTGTGTGTGTGTGTGTGAGAGAGAGTGCGTGTCTTCACTCAGCTGTGTTTCACTGTGTATTTGTTTGTCCCTCCAGTCTTTCATGTACCTTGTCTGCTTTGTTTTGTCTCTCATTTTCTGTTTGCCCCCTAGAACTGGGGGTCAGGAGATGTTAAAGGAATAATTCAACCAAAAAGGAAAATTCTGTCATATTTATGCATCCTCAAGTTCCTAGAAGCCCTAATTCCTAGAAGTAAAAAGAAACTGGGGCTGGCAAGCTCCGAAATTAGTAAAAAACACTGTAATACTACACTACCATTCAAAAGTTTGGGGTCAGTATAATTAAAAAAAAAGAAATTAATACAATTATTCAGCAATGATGCATTAAATTGATCAAAAGTGATTGACTTTTACATTGTTACAAATGTAGTTTTTAATAAATGCTGTTCTTTTGAACTTTCTATTCATCAAAGAATCCTAAAAGATCATGGTTTCCACAAAAGTATTATGCAGCACAACTGTTTTTAATATTGGTAATAATAAAAATATTTCTCGAAGGATTATGTGACATCCTTCAAGCCATAATAGGAATAAATTAAGTTATATATAATATATATAATAATATTTCTTTTTTTGGTGCTTTTTTTTTAACACAATAAAACAATCCGAACTTGCTTTAAACGATTGACAGTAACAAATCTGACCTAATATAACACTTAACAATGACAGTCAGAGATATGATATAAGTTAATAATATTTCACACAATATACAGTAAGTGTTTTTTACTGAATTTGCGATCAAATAAATGCAGCCTTGGGGAGCACAAGAGACTTCTTTCAAAATTTAAAAAAAAAATCTTAATGACTACAGATTTTTTAACTGTATAGTTTCAAGTCTTCTGAAGTCTTCTGAAATTTGATAAGTCACATGGACTACTTTTATGTTGCTATTATGGTGCTTTTTTTTCTTCTTTAGACATTCTGATATCTCCATTTGTGTTCCACTGAAAGACAGAATTTAAATTTTCGCTTGTTTATCCGTTTAAAAGTAAAAGTAATAAAAATCCTAGGAATGGGTTGATGGATCTCTCCACATACACAACGTTCACAGTAACATGTGTATGAGTGTCTGTTTGTGTGTGTACAGTATTTGTAAGCTTTTTTCCACTCAGGTTTAGTATTTGCGTGAGGCCGATACAACTCTAACCCCTCTTTTCCTCCTTACCCCATCCCCACTTCATGGGTCACTCCCCCTTTCCTCCCCTCAACCCTCCCTTGTGGCCCAGGAGGAACTGGTGCTCGCAGCCCTGAGGATAGAGGCTCTACAGGTAGCCAAAAACATCTCTCAGAGCCCCACTTTGTCCACTGTGCCCCCTCAGGTACTGCGCTGAGCCAGCCCGCACCCGTGTGAGTGTGTGTCCAAGCACGAGTGTGTGAATACCCCCTTCTGAACCGAGCCCCCTGACTGCACCCTTGGGTATGAGTATGAATACCCACCCATAAACTACCTCACCATACTGTGGACGTGACATCTCACCCTGGTTCTTTAACCCGGCTCCTGTCCCCCGATTGGTGCTCCTTTTTTCCCAATCCAACACCCTCTTGAGCAAAAGAGGTGTGTTTTTCCCAGGGCTTTGTGACAATCCTGCATGTTCGCTTGGACAGGAGATCAATAGAAACAAAGGTCAATGTGACTTGGAAATGTACGCTGTATATAGACTCTATATTATTACATCAAATATGAATGGTTTGCAGATTTCATAATTTAAATGCTTATCCTAAACAGAGTGTTTATAGCTGAATTCCTTGTCACATTCATGCTAGTTCCTGATTTCGATTTGTTACTAATTTACACTAACTCATTTGAATACAATGGGTATACAGACCATCTGTATGCCTGGTTTGAGGCCGCTGGCGTGGCTTCACATGAAGCTTAGCTCAGATCTGCTTTCAGTCATGTTGGATGAGTGACCATCACCTCTGTCTCAGCATTTGTACAGGAAATGGATTGAACAGACTAATCTCGTATACACAAACATGCACACGTACTACAACCTCTCTAACATGCCTCATATTCTTGCCGCTCCATTCTCATCATGTTGTCTTGCACGCTTCACAGTCTCGCCTCAAGAAGCCCAGCCCACGCCGCTGGAATCTCAACGGTTCTCACATGGCTAAAGTAAGAAGGACAGAAAACGTCCCCTCTAAAGTCTAACTAGGTCTAGTCCATATATTCTAATCCCACTGTCCCTGTACCACCTTTAGACTAAACCACCATTAGTCAGAAAACTAGGTCTGCAGACAAGAAACATCTCATCCTTCTCTTGTCCTTTCTGTTCACTGCACCAAAAAAAAACCCTAATCATTAATTGTCCTTTTTCTATTTGAAATATCAAAACATTACATTCTTAGACCAAGACACAGTAAAAAAAAAAAAATATATATATATATATTTTTATATACACTGTCTTCAAAAGTTTGGGTTCAGTAAAATTAAAATGCTTTTTTCCCCCCAGCAAGAATGCATTAAATTGATTAAAAGTGACGGTTAGACTTTCACATTGTTACAGAACATTTCTATTTCAAATAAGTGCTGTTTTTTTTTATTTCTATTCATCAAAGAATCTTGAAAAAATAATGTATTATGGTTTTTAAGCAATAAAACTGTTCAACATTAATAAGGAATAATAAATATATAATAATTAATAAGAAATGTTGCTTGTGCATCAAATCAGAAAAGTGACACTGAAAACTGAAAATTCACTTTTGTGATCACAAGAATAAATTAAATTTTTAAATATATTAAAGTAGAAAACACTAATTGTAATAATATTTCACAGTAATACCATTTTACAGTTTTTAAATCAAATAAATTCAGCTTTATTGAGCATACGACTTTAAAAAAAAAACATTTGAAAAACTTTGACCAAACTTTTGACAACAAAATATCTCAAATTAGAATCTAAACTCTTTAAAGGACAGTCTCATACATATTAAAAACACATAAACTCTAACCCATTTTCCAGACACATTTAATATGACTATCCACATAACATTTTATAGATCTCATAACTTTTTTTTTGAGTAATAGGTTTTGTCTCACTCTGTCTATACTAGTGTGGTTATTTTTGTAGAAAACTGCAGGAAAATCTACACAGACAGATAGCAAACTCTGTCGCAGGAAGTCCCGTATTCCACAGGTATTGTTTCTGCCCCTGAATAACCTCTAGATTTCATTTCCAAAATAGAGTTGATCTTTAATGTATCAAAAGTATTTCTGGAATAGTACTGATACATTTTAGGATTATGGAGTGCTTTCATATATAAAAAGAGTGACACTGTATTATATAGCTGGAGTAATGAGGTTCAGTGATGACTACCCTGAATTGATGATCTTCTTAAAATATTCAATATTTTAACATACATTATTAGATAACGCTCTTCCTGAAATAGTCTCTCAGACACATTTCACATGCTGCCTCAGCACATTCTCCATGACGTGCTCTTTATCTTACCTTTTCATTAGCAGTAATTTATCCTTCATGGAAATACATGCACAGCTGCTCTGCAGATAACAGGAATACATCACAACCCCATGCTTTACTGAACTCTGTCTTGTCAATATTCATTTTTAAAGCTTTTGTTTCTCATTTGCATTTAGAGTTATTCCTCTGCCTAATTTCTCCCCCTCTGCTGACTGTGTTTATGATTGGTGGTGACAAACATGCTGTTTTCTTGGGCTGGATCACGCATTCAGGGAGATTGTAGATTAGGTTATGCAGTGAGTGCCAAGACTCAGCTCTAGACCATGTTTAATGTACTGTATGTGGTCATAGGAGATCTGAGATCAACACTCCAACTCTAAATATGACAGAGCACCATTTCAACATTTTCTATTAGGTTTTAATTTCAGTTTGTACCTCCCATATGACTATATGCCTCGTCCATGATCTGAGTGCATTTCAATAATGCAGTAAATGGTATTAGGCATAAATTCTCCTTGCAGACCAAACATGTGGTGGGCATTCTGTATTTGCACCCTAACACATGGCCCCCTACCTTGTATAAGAGTCAAACTCAATTAATCTCCTAAGCCAGCTCTGTTAGGAAGAATTAATCAGCAAGTGGGTTTAAGGGCTAAACATGATGATTATTCAGTAACTACACCCCATCACTGGCTATAAAGAGGCCTTATGAAAACAGTTGCTTTCTGAAAATGGTGCATGTGAATATTCAGAAGTTAGTTATTAAATTACAGTACATTTACTGACAGTACATCTGTGCTTTTGTTTGTGCCTTTGAAGCAGATATTCATAAAACGTGTCTGTCTTTTCCTGTAGGATGTATGCAAATAGTGTGTTTTGTATGGTCTTTTACGGTCTTTTGTTGTAGCTGGTTGCATTAAGGGTATTTTAGGATATAGTCTTTTTCGTGCACTTTATTTAATCTCCGAAAACTAACATAAGGATCAACCTGTACTCCTGCAGTCCTCATCTGACACAGCATTCCCTCTCTGATCCGGTCACAGCCGCAAACCTTTCATGACAAACAGCTTTTCACACCCATCTCACATTGGGGATTGTCAGTCATAACATTCCAGCAGGCCAGTCGCAAACTGCTGGAGGCTTTTGAACCCAAACTAAGAGCCTGCTCTCCATGGCATTATGGCTTTGCTGAGTAGAACCTGTAGATGATGTGCTGCCTCCCTCCAAGATGTGTAAAGTGAATGTTGTTCTACAGAAATAAACTCACAGGTTTTTCATGGTTTCTCTACAACTCTCTCCTCTGCAGCAGAGGGAAATGGCCTCACCAGGGGACAGCGGGGTTTCAAAGAGCTCCCTCTATTCACGAACAGGATACATTGAAGGGGAAAGCCCTCATCTGCCACGTGACATGGACCACTCTCTTGGCATTGCCCGAGAAGAGGTATATACACTCACCCATTGCATGATGCCACACCACAATTAAAAAAAAAGGCATCTTGACCTGTATCTTAGTCTTGTCATTTCACATTTTGTGAAAATGTAACTTAAGGTAAATCTGTAAATGTAAATAAAGTGGTTAAAGTAGGTAATATTTAATATTTAATTTTGAAGGGGTGGTTAACGCCACTTTTAATTCTGGGTTCTGAAACCCTGTATTTGCAGTGCCAAAATGACAACCAATCATAAAAGGCTTCAATGCACACATTGTTAAATTTTCACAAACTCTGGACAATCAGAGAAACGTTCCCATGCTGTGTTAATTTTCAGTATCGGAGGGAAGTTCAAAATGTTGATATACTGGAGTGATGAGAGAGTATTTTTAAAGTCAACATGAAATGAGATTACTCACTTTCTCGTATTTCAATTTTCTGATGAAATGGAAGACTTCTCCAATGATTTGGTCTGCTTAAACCTGGTCTCCTTCCCTTTCTTATGACTGACTGCAAGCTCGCACTCATTATTGATTGCAACGCCCACATCTCAAAATCCAATCAACAACTGATTGATAGAACCAAGTCTATGCCTTAAATTTGATCTTTTCAATAAACTGTTTTGCTCAGATGTACATCACAAGAAAAGATCTGTCACTACTTCCATTTCACGCTATTATATTATAATATTACCCTCATAAATATGCAAATGCTACGAATTTTTACAGTGCGAAACATGGCAAAGGACATCCCAGATTTGCATGAACCCAGAATGACACTGGTTTAACAATTTCCAGGGTGTAAAGTGTGTGAAGTAACGCTCTTCTTATTTCAGATTGTTGTGAAAGAGAAAGAAGCCATGGAGTGGAAGAGAAAATATGAAGAGAGTAGACGGGAAGTGGAGGAGATGAGGTGGGTGTTCTCAAAGGACAGAAATTCCTGTGTCCTTGTGAGCTATGAGTGACGAGTGAAGCTTTTCCCCATTTCTCCCCACTTTTCCCATCACTTAATGTTCTCTCTATAAACTTCAAATCAATAAAACTGTCAGAAATGTTCATTCACTACATATGTTTCTTAGCTTACAGTATATGACACACCTGACAAATCCCTGTGAATTCAACCATTAAGGCTCTGCTTACAGCTCCATGCATCAACCTCAATCCACCTCTCAATCTGTTTATCTCTTTCCTACGTTTTTTTTTAAGTCGAGCGTAAGCAGAAAGCCAATTAAAGAGGGCCTTAACATGTCAGATGTGCCAGAGCTGGAGGCAGGAAAAGGGAGGGAATAGACGAAAGATTTGTTTTCACCCATCCAGAAAACTCATGAAACACTATTTTCTTGACACAAAATTAAATGCCATTTTAAGGTGTTTTATATTAGATTCTGCTTTACAATCTCCTAACTAATTGTTCAAATCAGGTGACAGTTTTTTTTTTAAGTATGTGTCACCTCGCTGCACTTTTAATAAAAATTGTTGCAGTGTTGTCTAATTCAGAAGACAGTTGACTGAACCAGGACATGTTTTAAAGCTGTCCTTTTGTATTCAAGGGGCAAAGTGAACAATGTAATTGGGAAGGGTTGCAGATTACAGCCAGCTGGACTAGGCCTTGTTAGTGTGGATAAGAATGGGGCTTAGTTCATTAGCCTGATTGGGCTCAGGATAAGGAAGGCCTAAGAGGCTAAGGAAGACATAGCTAATCCATCCGCTTACTGTGCTGGCAACTTGCTTTTCTCCAAGCAGGTCTTTCTGGCAGCCAAACTCTTGTAGTCAAACACATGACATAACAAATGCCAGTTCCCTGACCTTTCATGTAATCAAGCTTATTCAGAATTTCATTGTGATTGTCACCTCAGAATGCACTGTTCTACTAGTTTGCATTTGCATTATCAACCAGTCCTGACATCTGGCACAGAGCGGATCTTGCTGTCTGCGTGCAAACAGATAAATACTCTAACTTGGATTGTTTGGCTTCCAATTTGGGACACTTTCAAATGCGGGTCTAAATCCTGTTTACACCTGGTATTAAGATCCGTCTGTGGTGATCCGATCACAAATGGTCAGCCAAGATACATACTGTAGCTAGTGGTAACGTGTGTCAAATGCGCCTCCTGTGATCACTTGTGATCGGATTTCGAAGGGAGGGTCTCTGACTTCGTGAGTACGTGCATCACTTGCTGCGTCAGTGTGTTACTGCATGTTGGTAAATAAAAAAAGGAATGGAATGATCTGACAAATGACCTGATAATTTATTTTAGAGATGAAGTCCATCCGTATTTTCTATTCAACTACCACAGTATGTGGTTGCAGAGATCAGATCACAAAACATTTTGGACCCTGCTTACACCTGTATTTAATGCTTACCACTTGTGATCAGATCATCTTAAACCAATCCAGGTGTAAATGGACTCTAGGACATGTTTTTTAAAAAAATGTTTTTGAGCCCAAGTCTCTTATGCTTAACAGACTTCATTTATTTGATGAAAATACTGTAAAACAGTAAATTGTCAAATATTTTTTGTAACAATGTAAAAGTCTTTACTGTCACTTTAGATCTTAAAAAGATCAGATCTGATCAGATCTTGCAGTATATATGCACCTTATTTGTTTGGTAACTTGATTTTTGCTTATTCTTTACAGGAGGATAGTACAGGAGTATGAGAAGACTATTGCAGAGATGATTGGTGAGTCTTGATTGCTAAATATGATTTCATCTTCTCCTGGGGATTTTCAATCTATGCGTTTTGTGAACACTGTCAGGCACTTTTGGTTCTCTTTATCTGTGCTTTTCCTCTGCTACACTCCAATAAATGAACAGGCACAAACCTTACCCAGTCACGCCACACCAACACACGTATGCAATAAGTTTTTGTTACTTTCTCATTTAATTTGCAGACAAATCTTTCGTGCCTCTGGACCCAAACACTGGTCAGTTACAAGCACAAGCCTTCATGTCTCCTTTTATATTCCACTTGACTTGACCTCAAAAAACATAAACATGTTTCTACTCAAAACATGTCTCTTACCAGGCCTCACCCACTGACAGATTAATCTGATTTCTTTGCCTGTCCAGTATTTACATCCATGTGAATACTGTAGGCTGTGTGCGTTCTTACATTTTCAGATTGTTATACTGAGTGGTTTAACCATGTCACGCTTTTCTCTCTTTGTAAAAAAACAACAACCTTTTTTCATTCCCTTTTTATGTTCTTAATGATAAAATACCATACTTGACATTCCGCTTCCCAGCTGTCGGTCATTTATTTTCACTTTATTTTGTCTTTGCTTATAATTTCTTTTTCCATGGTTCATTTTCTCAGCCACTTTTCTGGCTCTCACCACCTACTTCATTTTATTCTATGACACTTTCATTAATTTTAAAATGCATCTATGTTTCTGACACACTTTTCTCTCTCACATGTCCCACCCTGCTGGTTTGACTTAATGCCGTCCCTTTTTTCTGTTTTGCTCCCTCCGTCCCCCATAAATATTTGATAAATCTCTCAGGCATGCCTGGTAAGTAACAGCAACTCTTTATTTTCTTTGTTTGTGTTGCATCCACCACATCTGACAGTGACAGACAGGGAGAGTTTTCTCTTACTATAACCTGATACGGTCTATCTCTCATTTTAGTATCATCTGGTTTTGCACTGCTGGTCTTTTTTATAGACCTTTTCTCAAACATCTTCCATTACCAGCTCATAAGTGTTCAGGAAACTACTCTGATACTGTAACTTTCCAAATAAGCTCAGATTTTCTACTATTAAATACAATTTGTGACTATTTATATTTACTTTTGTGACCATTTACTTTTTATAAAAACGAATTAAGAGGTGCTGAGTAAGTCTTTCAAAGGTCTTCTCATCTCACCATGTCTCCGTGGTTTGGACATCTTTGAGTGTGTGTGTGTGTGTATGTGTGTGTTGTCTGCATGCATCATACAGATGCAGCGTCGAAAACTGCATTTTCATTTGTCATTATCAGCGATTTAGACATAGTGGTGTAGAGAATAATTTAATATCTGAAGTACCCAGAGGAGCATACAATCAACCTCTGCCGCATCCAAAAGCAGATTTGCACATCAATTTGATTGTATTGTGTGTTGTCTATTGTATATCTAGTGTAATATGAACTTAATGCGTTTATGTTTTTGTGTGTATGTCTCAGAGGGTGAACAGAGAGAGAAGACTCTGTCTCATCACACTATCCAGCAGTTGATCCTGGAGAAGGACCAGGCTTTGGCTGATCTCAACTCCGTGGAGAAATCTCTCGCTGACTTGTTCCGTCGCTATGAAAAGATGAAAGATGTTTTGGAAGGCTTTCGAAAGGTGAGTCACTTCACACTGAGATTGATAAAGGTTGAAATCATTATGAATTTCCATTTGCAGCTCAGTAATTTGATGTAATTCTAAGATAAATGGAATATTCAGTGAGAAAAATGTAGGTCGGGGCTTGATTGTTATTGATTGTGGATGTTGCATACAAAAATGTAATAATATTACAACTATTAGGCTGTAGGTTAAAATTATTTAATAGCTTTTGCTCATTTACTATATTCCTTTTTTTTTCCTTCAGAATGAGGATGTGCTGAAGAAATGTGCGCAGGAGTACCTGTCTCGTGTCCGTAAGGAGGAGCAGCGCTACCAGGCCTTGAAGATCCATGCTGAGGAGAAACTGGATAAGTACGTACAGAACTTTCACATGCATATGTTTTTAATATGATTTTCTTTGTACAAGGTTTCTGTTGCCCGGAACAACAACTGTTAGGTGAATTAAGGGTTAGACTTGCACTGTGCGAGAGTTCTTAGAAATATGAAATGATGGCATGACTCTGACCATGTGGCACCCGCAGGGCGAATGCTGAAATCGCTCAGGTGAGAGTCAAAGCCAAGCAGGAGCAGGCAGCGTATCAGGCCAGTCTGAGGAAAGAACAGATGAAGGTGGACTCACTGGAGCGCACACTGGAACAAAAGGTTTGCTCACACTTGCAAATCCACATGCACATCTGTTAAAGTCATTTTGTTATTGTTAAAACATTTAGTTAATTTTTAAGTACAGCAAACAATTATTTCATTTAATTAAATATATGTTATTTATGGCTGTATATACTACCAGTGAAAGTTATGGAATAAATACGATTTTGTAAATGTTATTGAAAAGTCTTTTATGCGTAACAAGGCTCCATTTATTTGATCAAAGTAAACTACATTAAAACAGTAATATTATAACTTTATAATGATTTTATATTTAATTTTTTTAATTTGAACTTATTCCTATCATGGCAATTCTAAATCTATGTATATATATATATATATATATATATATATATAAGAAATACTTTTACTCAGTACTGACTTTAATGTTACTTTAGATAAATTTAATGCATCAACACAGACTGTTTATATATATATAATATATATAACATGTTCTTTAAACATCCTGAAAAAAGTATTATGGTTTCCACAAAAGTATTAAACAGCACAACACAGATAATAGTAAAAAAAACATTTCATAATAAAATGATTTCTGAAGGATCGTGTGACACTGAAGACTGGAGTAATGGCTGCTCAAAATTTAGCTTTGCCATCTCAGGAATAAATTACATTTTAAAATATATTAGTATATTTCACAATTTTACTGTATTTTTGATCAACATATTGTAAGAAACATCTTTCATATTTTCAAAAAGCAACAACATTCAGAGATTAACATGATTTTTTGGATTCTGTTTATAGAATAAAGAGATTGAAGAACTGACCAAAATTTGTGATGAACTGATTGCCAAGATGGGAAAGAGCTAGCCGTCCATTCGACAGAGTTCTGTCTGTACCACAAAGGGACAAAAGAACAATAACTGGACAAGAGTGTAAAGATGGAGGAGCAAGGTGAAATTGTTTCGGTATTGTTTTTTCCTCTTTCTAATGGACAGAACAATGAACTAACCAAACAAAAGGATCTCACACTACTGACGTCGTCACATAAAACTGGAGTCCCTAGGACTGGGAGAACACTAGTTTCTGGCTGTAATTATTTTCTCTTCATTTTAATATGTTAATGTACACCACCTTACCAATGTTGAGGGTCTTGTGAAAGTACTCCCCATCAGTAGAGACTTTTTTAAAAAGTCTGTATAGTGTACACACACACACACACACGCGCGTGCAGAGAGTATGTGTTTATAGTGAGTCTGAGGTTATGAGTGCTGTTGCCATGACAACCACTGATCGAGCCGACTGTTAAACTGATTCCTGTGGTTCCCTCTTCTTAAGTTGAAAACAGAAATGACCAGAGAGAATATATATAATATAAAACAGATGAATTAATCATTCAGTTGTCACAAAGTGGTATTCATGATCATAAAAAAATGCATGTTGTAGGCCTTGACGGTTTTGTAAATATGAAAATGACTTGAAAATAGTAAAGGAACATAACTGCAGATTTTGATACTGTTAGTTTATCTGCTTCCTTGTGTATCTTTGTAGATACTTGTTGTTCATTTGTTTCGTTGTCTTTTAGCAACACTGATGTGTGATTTTATTTTTGGATTTATTTTGATATATGAATGAACCCACGTGTCACTGTCAGTGGTTCTGAGCTAATTTAATCTGAATGGTTTTGTCTCAGTCCTGCTATAGCTGATGTTTCAGACAAATGAAGCTCTGTCAGCTATACAGGACATGCTTACAAAGTGCAATAAAAGATGGCAATACAGCTTCTGTTTATCTGACCCATATCACACAGACACAGTCAATATGCAAAATGAAAAGGCTTGATATTTGATGTAATAACAATCACATTTACTTATTCATTTAGCAGATGCTTTTAGCCTCCCACTAGGGCATTTTAAGAAAGCAATGTTGTTAATGAACAAACAATGAATCTTGTCAGCATGATCCTACGTATGTGCATAAAAAGATGCGTTAGTTAGCTGACAGATGGGTCTTAAAATCACGCCAGACAGACTATATTAGTGCCAATTACATGCTGGCACAGAACCAAACTGTCTGAGTGAGTGAAGAAAAAAATTAGTCAAAGTAGAATTTAAGAAAAATAGGATGAAGAAAGAATCTGAAGCGTTGGAATGAAAGAAAAATAAATAGAAATGGAAAGAAAGGGATGATTATTTTTATAGGTGATGTTGCAAAGATACTAACATGATTGTATACATAAGTATATACATTATAAACATACTATATAATTCATTATAAATCAAATAAAATTATAAATTTTATTATATCATTTTATTGAGAACCAAGTGCTAATTAAGTTTTAGAAAAAGCAGTTGTTTTTTAAATTACACATTGAAGCTAATACACTCAGAAAAAAAGGTACAAAAGTTGTCACTGGGGCGGCACCTTTTCAAAAGGCACACCTTTGGATCTAAAGAGTCCATATTGGTACCTTAAAGGTACATATTAGTACCTAAAATTTACAAAAGTGTACCTTTTGAAAAGGTACCGCCCCAGTGACCGCTTTTGTACCTTTTTTTCTGAGTGTGTACTAAATGCAAATGGGGGCAATTTAAGTAAAGCTAAGGAGCTAAATTAATTTATTACAGTCCAAAACTATTCAAATATATATTGACAAACAATAGCTAAAATATTTCCAATTAAAAAACAAGTATGATTGTGCTATAGTATAGAACTGTCTGGATATAGTTGACAAAAAGCAGCTGAGGTCAGGCATAGAGAAACTGGAGACTGCTTGTTCTTTCTTGTTATGGATGTTGTGTGCAGATAATAATAATAATAATAGTATTTATTATTATTATGTGACATCATGGATGAGTATACAATTCAACAGGGTGTTCTATACATTTTTTATATAAATGTTACTCCAAACATTCTGAAATATTAAATATTTACAGTCTTGAGTGTCACATGATAATCTAGAAATCATTCTAATGATTTGCTGTAAAAAACATTTCTCGTTATTAGTGTTGGATCTCTGAGACCAACTCAATAGACAGGAAGTAACAGTTAATTGTCCATTTTAGGAGTTAAAGCATGCCGAAGGTACCGCCCCAGTGACCGCTTTTGTACCTTTTTTCTGAGTGTACTAAATGCAAATGGGGGCAATTTAAGTAAAGCTAAGGAGCTAAATTAATTTATTACAGTCCAAAACTATTCAAATATATATTGACAAACAATAGCTAAAATATTTCCAATTAAAAAACAAGTATGATTGTGCTATAGTATAGAACTGTCTGGATATAGTTCAAGCATAGAGAAACTGGAGACTGCTTGTTCTTTCTTGTTATGGATGTTGTGTGCAGATAATAATAATAATAATAGTAATTATTATTATTATGTGACATCATGGATGAGTATACAATTCAACAGGGTGTTCTATACATTTTTTATATAAATGTTACTCCAAACATTCTGAAATATTAAATATTTACAGTCTTGAGTGTCACATGATAATCTAGAAATCATTCTAATGATTTGCTGTTAAAAACATTTCTCGTTATTAGTGTTGGATCTCTGAGACCAACTCAATAGACAGGAAGTAACAGTTAATTGTCCATTTTAGGAGTTAAAGCATGCCATTTTAGATAAATGCTTTGGAAAAGAATGTGACCTTCACGCTGGTGTTATACTTTAAAAGTTTACCTCATTTCAAACAGCTTGAATAGCCTGCCTGTAAAATCATTTTGAGTCTATCCTGTGAACTGAAGGTTTAGCTATCAAAGAGAGTGACTCAGAAGCAGCAGGAGGATGTCTTTAGGGTGAACTAACAGTTCTAAGACACACATAGCAGATACTTTTAAAAGGAATGTCTGTTTCTGAAGGTGTTACAGTCATAGAGTTTATGTGTCTGATCTTGACGGATTGAACTTCAAAGGATGTTTGCTGAAAAAAAAGCACTTTTTGGGAGATGATAGCAAAGAGGCACATGAAAAAGGCTTAACCACAACATGTACTCGTGGGCTTTTACAAGACACTGACATGTTTCTCTGCTGTGACTTCTGTTGACTTCCCTGGGGTCTGTTAAAACGAAAGTGGAAAAAAATGGATAAAACGTCAGTGTTCTGTTTAGACTTCACAGACCACACTGTAAAAAATAAGTGTAATTTTAACTGTAAAATTTTGTAAAAATGCTACGGAAAAAAACTGTTAATAGGTTAACAGTAAGTTCCCGTACTATATACAGGGAAAAACGGTAAAATATCTGACCAGACATTTCATGTAATTTTACAGTAAAATGCTGTTAATTTTACAGTTTTTAGAAGTAAAAATAACAAATCAATGTATAATTTACAGTCAAAAACTGTAAACTGATATTCCCAGAATTCCCTGCATGACACTCCACATTTGAAAGTATTTTGTTTAAATAATCATGTTTTTTTAATAGTTTTTGTTATTGAATTTACTGGTTTACATTCAAATTTTCTTGTTTGTAAATTACAGTTTTATACTGTAACATTTACAGTTTTTGGCCGTAAATGTGTTTACAGTTTTTCTGTATTTTTTACAAAATTATTCTGGCAACCACAGCTGCCAAAATTATTTTGTAAAAACTACAGAATTTTTTTTTACAGTGCAGTTAAGTTAAGATCAAGATTTATAGATTATTTTAAAGGATCTTCTCAGATAAAAAAAAAATAGATTTTATGTCGATAGCATATTTGTTGCTGTTTAAAGCTGCTTCATCATGGAAATAGAAACAGTGTGCATCATTATATGTGTGTCATTATGAAGTACAGTAACATTTTCCTGTCTCCACACTAGAAATTAAATGGCATAAAATACATCAAGCTTTGATTAGTCAAATGCACTGGATGTTTGCAATTATTGTGTCACCGGTGAGACAAAGTACAATTTGCCTTGATTGTTGGAGTCGTTGCATTGAGCCATGGTTCTCATCTGAACACGGAATATTTCCTTCCTTTCATTTAATCGTTTATGCATCCTCTTTAAAATCTGTGACAAAAAGGTCAAAAAAGAGGCAAAATAAGTAAAAAAAGATGAAAATAGAATAAATTGTGTGGAGGTATAATTTTTAATTATTGTTTTTCATCATGTTCATTTAAAAACATTAAAATAACATAAATCTATGTGACAAAAATTGCATAAAATATGATCATTTACTTTTTAGAGTATGTATCTGTTTTTTATTTTTATTATTACTTTACCCTTACTGACAAATGTTTTTTTTTTTATTATTGTTAATAATCATGTTTAATACAAGAACACACATTTTAATGCCCTGACTGGAAAAAAATGAAAGAAATAGTAAAATAATAAACAAAATAGTGTATCATCATCATCATCATATTGATACTACTACTACTAATAATAATTAATAGATTTTATTCTCAAGTAACTTCATTATTATGTTTTATTTTTTACTGGAAAACAAGACAAAATTAAGAAAAGCAATAAATATTAATTGGTCAGTACTTACCCTTTAGGCCTTTTTTGAGGAATTTTAATGTTGAATTACTTTTGCCTCTTTGTCTGTATTTAGGTGAGGCACTGAAGTGTTACACCTGCATGGGCTCTACAGATGAAGACTGTAATCGCCAAGGATCCAAAACATGTCCAAGCTACTCAGATGCATGTGCTGTTGTCCGTGGACATGGCAGTAAGTTTAATGGGTACATAGTTAATAGTTCATCTTCCTGCATGGATGGATGAGAGGAAACTGGGCGAGAACATTTTTTTATTTCCTTGGATGTGGGTGATAAATCACAGAGGGATAAATCTTTAGAAAATCATTAACGACTGTGTGTGTGTGTTTTAAGGGGAAGCACTGGATCAGGTTGGTGTTTAAGGAAGACAGACTGCTCTGTCTGGCTCCAGCTTAGAAATAGCAGGAGGTCTACAGCTTCCTTATGAGGATCAAGGCACATTAATATGTAATCATGCTCTTATACTGTTCTTGTCCTCTTAGGTGGTGTAATGAAGTCGTGCTCGTACAAATCCTTCTGCAGCCAGGCTAACAGCCAGGGCTACAGAGCTCCAGGGGTCAAAGTTCACTGCTGCTACTCCGATGACTGCAATGTGGCAGGACACGCCACTAGAATCCGCACAGGCTTCAGCTTCCTCCTGGGCTTTCTGTTATTCGTCTGGCATCTGCTGTCAAACTAATGCTACCCTAGACAAACTGACCTGGTTATTAAATACCATTACCATTATGGAACTCTGTATACTCTGTGATTGTTAACATACATACTGATAATATACCACACGGCAAATGTCAGCAAGTGTACTGCCATGGGATTGTGCATGCAATGCGTATTAGGTTAATAAAGCACACACACATACAGAACTTCACATATACAGATTTTGTCACATTTCTACTCTGCATAAAGGAAATGTATTTATTGCTCCGACTTTCTAGGAATTCAAAAAGCCAAACACCTTTTTATTCTGTAGGCCAAACTCATTTAAATGAACTCTATTATAGGGATGGTTCTCTTAAAAATGAATCATTTACTCACCCTCATGTCTTTCCAAAGCACAGAAATATTTATAAACCTTTTTTTTTTTACTATATTTTTTTTGTACAACTATTTTCATTGTACTGCAAGCAAAAGAACAGCTGGAACATTTTACTTGATAACTCCAATTGTGTACCCGAGTAAATAATGACAGAATTCAGAATGTTTTTTGGTGAATTATCTATTTAAAAGCCATTTTGTTGTTATGAACAAAGAGTTTGGTATAATGAAGAAAGAGATGTTTTAAGATGAGCCTCAAATA